GAAGTTCTCACTTCACTTGTAGTTATGGGTAATCCCTTTGAAAAACTTTCCTGTCTCAATACCTGATGTGTTCCTGTATTTAAGAATACAAGGGAGGGAAAGAAAGTAGAAGACTGGTGGAGGCCAAGTCTTGGTTTTGCTGTGGATGGTCATTTCTAATTTTGTTGTTTGAATGCTCTAGTATTTCTCTTTAGAGACACCTGAAACCAGGAGTAAGGAGAGTTTTGCTTAAGACAAAACTGAGAGCATTTTCTCCTGCTGCTGCTTAATTTTAAAATGCAGTTTTAAAATGCTAAATGTTTCTTCAGGTTCTGAAATACTAGGATAAAGTGGTGGTGTGTTTTGTTTTGTTTTTTATTCCCTTCCCAATTCAGGTTTCCGGATAGGATTAGGACTGAATGTGCCAAAAATACCAGGATAGAAGCTGTTCTCATGGGTGTTTCCATCTGGAATCTAATGTAGAAATGCCAGAAATCCTGTAGGAAAACCTGTTCTCATGTGGTTTCCTGCCCGGTCCAACGTTTTTGATATGTTGGGAGAATTTGGATTAGCAGCAGATAAGCAGAGAAACTGGATCTCAATGCCAAACTTTTTGGAAGTTTTTCCATACCCGCTGGAAGCGTTATGAGGCCCATAGGCATAAGGTATATAGTCTCTCCCCTGCTGGGTAGGTTTTAAAGCTGGCTGAATAGCAATAAACAAATGCATGAATATATTCATGAATGAGTAGGGCTTTGCTCTTCAGTTCTTTGCAGGGCTRTTTTAACCAGCTCTGCTATTGAGATAACCTTCGCTTATTTGTGCAAATATTTGTATGTCCAAAAAAGTTTTATGAATCTTTGCAAGACTGTGCATCTGGAAAGTTATTTTCACGTGTTTACTTTTCATCAGTTCCTACTTATTATTCCCCATTTAAATTTCTTGGAGTGTGCGTTTGGGTCTGATTAGCTTGCAGAAACAAATGTCGGGTGTCTTAGGTTAGGGCTCGGCACCCTTTCCAAGCTGATATGCCAGATTTTTCCTTTCCCAGGATTTTCCTTTTGCGCTTTCTTGTCCGAGTGCTCCAGCAGGTAGTACTTGGAGATGCCGATTCTCCCAGAGGCAGAAGGGTCTTGGACAGCAGGGTGTGAGATGATGCCCCAGCCTTCTTGGCTGCTGCTGCTGGGTGTCGTTCAAAGGCCTCCATGACACGGCTGCTCCTGCCCTCCTGTGAGCAGGTTCCCTCCACAGACAACTTCACAGCCGATGGGCAGGAAATTATTCCTGCCAGTTGTTTGGACAGCTTTTGTTTTGGCCTGAGTGCTTTGGCAAGGGCTGTATTTTAGGACCAGTATTATTTCCCCCAAATGTGCATCTCCTTGCTTTCTCTCGGAGTTCCTGCTCTGCCCCTTGGTGCTGGTGCCTGTCACCGCTGTGTGCCAGAAAATGAGGAAATAYCTGTGGAAAAGTGAAGCTGCTGCTTCCAGTAGCACCTTCCAGTGACGGCAGATGTGGGAAAGGAAACGCCTTTTGTGTGAAACTCTGCCCTACCTGCACACCGGGGAGATATTTGGGTGAACCAGGTGCCAGGACTTTGCTTTCCTCTAGAGTTTTTAACTTGAACGAAAGAAAACCTGCTCTTTTTCTAGTAATCCGGTATTTAACGGCTACTTAAAATACCCGCAGGTATTTTTAGGTGCCAGACAAACGTCTTTGTCCCACACTATTAATGGCAAAGACATCCCGCAGCACTTGCTCCSGTTGCTGATGCCGCAGGGGTGACGTCTAGGCCATAACAGGGCCCTGCTCTGGCGGCCTCGCGGCACCGGCAGCTCCTTTGGCCCRGAGCCCGTGTCAGGGCCTGGCTGAGACGCTCCGGAGCCGCTGGCATGGGATCGGCACCTGGAAAGGCCCGTGGCGGGAGCCCGGTGTGCCCAGAGCCCACAGGCCTCGCGCCGGCCCCGCTGCCACGCGTGGTGCCCGTCTCGCCCTCCCGTGTTCGTGAAACGAACCTGGGTTTTGTTGCTGCTGCTTTCACGAAAAATCACAACCCATTCAGCTCCTCTACTGCCATCTGAGTGCAAGCGACTTCCACGTAATCACAGGGGGAAGTGTATCTTTGGGAGTACGTGGCTGAGCCCAGGTGTGAGATCCCTCGTAGCAAAGGAAGAGAGTGATTTTTATTTTATTATTTTATCTTGTGAATCAGGTTTAGCCTCTTTCGCTGCCAGACCGTGGAACCCCGTAGATTCTGTGATTCTGGCGCCTTTGGAAACTGCATTTCTCYGGAGCCCTTCCTCATCCCCGCCCTTGTACAGAGCTGGTTTTATCGGGGCAGTCGCAGGTGAGCGCGTCCTGGGGCCTCCCCTCTTCACCACATCGCCCRCAGCAGCTCCAGGTGGCCGCGGACCTCGTCCCCTCGCCTCGTGTGCGGGCTAGGGGGGCACAAACGCACCCACATGTGCACACCGGAGAGGAAACGAGTTGCTCCTGCCTCGGCAAACTCACCTGGGAGCTGCTTGTTTTTGGCCTGGGCTGTGGACGCGGGATGCACCCGCTGCAGCGGCTGCCGGGGGTGATGTGGGCAGCCCTGGCAGCTGCGTGAGGTTTGCAGAGCCCGTCAAAATGTTTACCGGGGCTGTTTAACAGGGAGATCAATAGCAAGTGCCTCTCTGCTTAGCAAAACAAAATAGGTTTCAGAGCAAAAGCTTTTCAGAACAACAGCAAAAAAAAAAAAAAATCCCCTGGCGTCACTCCAGCTGAGCCTAAGAACGCTGAAAAAAGGGCATCTTTCCTACTTGCTTGGATTTGTTTTCATTACACAGTTATTAGAGTAAGGGAGTATTAGATGGCCGTTGTCAGCGCGAGCCCCTCTCCCTATAAAGCAGGCGTGCTCRGCGGCTCGTTTGCCGGTATCCCGGGCCTGATTTATGGCTGTCAGCCTCCGCGTGACAGTGTCCTGACAAGTTCTGCGGCGAGCGGCATAAACYTGTTCAAGCCTGAAGTGACACTTCTGGGCTGCAGTCCCCCCTTTCCCAGGGAGGAGACTGCCCTGGATCATCCGCGTCTCGGCGTCACCAGGAAATCCACCCGCCTTCTTYTCCGGGGCTCCTGACTTGCTACCAAAAACCGCTCCATTAAATCGCTTCCCTAGGATCCCGTGTTTGCTCCTCAGCAAGGAGCTCAATGCAGGAGGTTTCGGACCCTTTGCTGGCCACGTAATGTCCAATTTGGAAACCGGTAGCGTCTCCAGTTGGAGGCTGACAAATTCGCAGTTTGAGGCTGGCACAAAACATCAGTGGAACAGGGGGGAAAGGGGAAAACGGGTAATTTTCCATTTTCCGGAAGATAGCCCCAAAAGGCTGTTTCAGTACCTTAACGTGGGATAGATATCGGCTGTTTCATTTTAGTTCCATTGAGAAATTCTGAATTATTGTAATAACTGTGAGCAGAAAAAAAAAAAGTTTTACAGAATTACAATTCTGTAATTCCTGATCTTGCTAAAATATATGCTCATGCTTAAATTGAAGAACTGAGGTACTTCCTCCCCATGTGTTTAAACACACCCATTAATAATTAGAGGACTGGATTTATATCCTAACTTTCCAGACAGCTGGTGGTGGTATTTTTTTCTTTTTTCAGTCATCTTCGCCTCTTAAAATGTTGTGATGTAGCAAATTAGCCATTTCTCACCATTTATTCTGAAGAACAGAAATAAGTGAAATCTGTCCTTAAAATTAATGCTGCAGGCATGTGAAATAAATGGTAGTCTACATGGCAGCAACCAAATAAATATGTTTTGCAGCTTTTAGGTGAGAAGAAGGTGGTAAGTAAAATAGAGAGGGAGAAGCTAAAAACATGGGAGATCTTAAGTGTGAAACATGGGGAAGACTCGAGAAAAAGTTAGATCAAAGCATATAGGGATGGAGAAATAGAAAGCAGTGGAAATAAGTACAGGGTACCCTAGTCCGAAACCTTACCTCATTCCCAGCGTACAGTTTTTATTGAGGACGGTTTCCTCTGTCTTTAGATCTGATTCCAAATGTAGCAGCATGTTAAAACAGAATGATCCAGGGTAGAAATAGAGCAGCTCAGACCCATAAAGATGTGACTTCTACCCCATAAAGAGAGACATCACAAGGAAGGTGCAGCCTCTTAAAAATGGTGAGATTAGATCAGATGCAATTAGTGAGAACGTTGTCCTGGGGCTCAAAATCCCGGATCTGGGCGCTCAGAATTGCAGCGTGGACCCTCCCAGCTGTGGGGTGGGAACTGGGAAGCCCCCAACTCCAGAAGCCACAGCAGATTTGAGTGGATTTATCCCATTTCAGGAGCCTCGTCTCTTTTGGAAATACAAACCAGTTGCAGTCCGGGGATTTCCTGYGCTGGGCAACGTGTGGCAGCCCCTTTGGCAAACAGCTACCCTGCGGAGGTGCCTCCTCTCTAAAATTCGCCCTTTCTCTGGCTTCTGCTCCCGCTTCTGACAGCTTTCTCTCCTAGATGGAAGCGCCCTGCTGCATTTATACTTTTCTGGCCAGTGTCACTGTAAAATGTGTCCAGGACCCTCCGTGATCTTTGTTCACGCTAAGGCTCATTTTCAGAGGCTTTCACCATTCTTCTGCCAATTCCCTGAATCCTTTACCAGTCCCAATGTCCTGCTTAACCATGGGGATTGTGTGCACATCCCAACAGCCCGTTTTCCAAAGGCACAAGCAGGATAACATCCCTCTTCCTCCTCAAAACTCTTCCTCCTTTACCCAAGGTTGGCAGCAGGCTCTGTGGTACCCTGTTGCACCAGCAGCTTAAGCTCAGCTGGTACTAACCACCACGTTAGCATCTCCCAGGGTGCTGGTGAAGTTCCCTTTCCTTCCTGGGTTCGTGACCATGCTCAGCTGCAATGGCCCTTGTTTGCTTCACAGTTTGCCGAGCAGTTCCCAGCGCTTTCATGTAGCCCTCCTGCAGTCTCCTGTCACCTGCAGACTTTATTAATAATTATTTTATTCTCTTTTGTTTTGTTTTTCTTTTTAATGGTTGATTTAAAATGTTAAATAGCATGGGACTAAGAACGTACGCTGCTGGCCTGGTTAAAGTCGTTCCTACTGRATTTGGGGATTTCTATTCACAATTGTAATTTTAAACGTAAGGCACCAGTTTCAATCTATTTTAATTTGCACCCTGTTTATTTTATATTATTTTACCTACTTAGTCAAACCAGCGCATAGAACCTGATCGCGCACCTTGCGAAGATGCCAGTGCACTAGAGCAGCAGGATCACCCTTATCGACCCAATCTGCGACATCGGTAAAGAAAACTTTGATAAAATCTATTTCCTGCAAACCCACATTGCTGGGAGCAATTTGTATTCGCTCCTTTTACATGATAATACATAATTCCTGGATTAACTGTTCCATTATCTTCCTGGGGATCAGCCTGACAGGCTGCTCACTACCTGCAGGACCCCATCCGCTCCCTTTCAGTTTTGAAGAAATTTTGTTTTCCTTTGGTCCTCTGCAACCTCCCCAATAGTCCCAGTCTCCTCAAGGAGCAGTGGGATGGGGGAGCTTCCCAGCAAATTCCTTTCAAACTCGTGACATGCGTTTTCCAACTGGCTGACTTGAAACCGTCCATCTCTTCCAGCTGCTGTTTGAAACCCCTTTGAGTCATCGCTGAGACTGAAAGTGATTCATTATTTTTAGAAATACGTATATACGTATTCCCAAATATGGAAGAAAACTATTCATTGAAGCCTTATATGTTTTCCTTAGTATTATTAAATTTCTACTGTCTTTGTCCAGTAACAGATGACAACATTTTTGTTCTCAATATGTTTTTAAAAATCCCAGATATCCTTTCCTCATTGATTTCCTTTTTTTTTTTCCTTTCTGTGTCCCTTTATCAGTTTTATACAGTTGTTAGCTTTTGCTTTACAACTGTTATTATCAGTTTTCCTCTATATCATTTGTTCTTTGTGTTAAGATAAATGTGTTTTCCTTCTATGTCTCCTTTTACCCTAAAAATAATTTTAAAGTAATGTCAGTTTATTTCTTGGTGGTGGAATTATAGGGCCTTTGAAATCTCGGAATGTATTCTAGAGGATTTCCTCATTACCATGAAAAGGTTTCTTCTTCCATTTCTCTGTAGCTGATATTGCTCATAATTATTTTAGCATTGTGAAAATGAATTTTTTAAGCAGCAGTTATATTTGTGAATGTACATMCTGGAACTCACAGAAAAACGCACGCTACTTGGGACTTGATTCTATATGTTGACAACAAATATAATCAAGTCACGATCAGCGGCATCTAAGTAACCATTAATTTTTACATCTGGGAGCAGCTCCTCTTTATCTGTCACTAGGCAGTCTGCCCCAAGCTGGGCTGAGTGAGGAAATTGGCTGCCTGCAATTTTTGAAATTCTGAGTACTTTTTAGTACTGGTAGCCTGAGAACACCAGCATATGCCATTCAGATTGAAGTCCCATATGTTAACACAGCTTTTTTTTACCAACACATGATAAATAAGTCTTTAAAGAAGCTGGTCATCCTTTTTTTTTTTTTTTTTTCTTTTTAATGGCATTTTTGGTGGTGTGTTGCAGGCACCAAATAGCTCACTGCCTTCTATTTTATTTGTGAGAACGTTGCTCTACCTGCAGCCAAGATCTTTTACTTCTGACTTGTACTGATCTGCAGAGGTCATGCAGTTCCGAGCAAGTGAACCAGCCGCTTTCCTGCCCTCTGACTGGGCTGTAACTGTTCGTTTTTGCATGCTGATCATGGGAGTTTTCCCCGTAATATCAACCAAGTCAAATTTATGCTCATAAATCAGCAATTCTAATTCCTGCCGTTTATTACCCGACTTCCAGCAGAAGTGTATAGGCAATTAAATCATTTCATCCCTTTGTGTATGTGGATGCTTTTGTAATTTTGTTCTCAGCAACATGATCTTGAACTACAACCAAAACCCTCACACCACTTACCCCCTCAGCAGTTATATGTGCAGGATTTTCTGTCTTTTTCTGTTCCTAGGACAGGAAAAGTCCCATAAGATCATCTGGCTATGCCTGTCTTTAAACTCTCTCCCGAGTCCCCTAAATATATTGCAGTTTGTGATGTTCCTTTTAAAGATGTTTTGTGAGATCTACTGCCCCCAGAGCTTCCTACGCCGCAGACTTGAAGGGCTTCTTGTTGCGCCCGTGGCTACTTGCCTGTCTCTCTCCATTCTACRCTGTCTTCATTGGAAGCCTCTTGCTTGATCTCCATAGCTAGTGGGCTGAACAGCTGCAACACAGGAATATTTTACACTTCCCTGCTCTGTTTGACCGGCCACTTCTGCAGGGAGATTTTCCTTGACTTCCCTTATGAGGACACAGCGACAGGGTGGAATTTCTCTGGACATCTCCTCTCGGAAGGCAGCCTGACCCTCTGTTATCCATATGCCCTTCTCTTGGCCCTTCATGTAAACTTCCAAATGGGCTGTCACAAACTGCTAAGTATCTTTCCCATTTTCTGCCCTCTCTRGTTCCGACCATTTTCTTTCTTTCTTTCTCGAGGGGAGGAGCAACCTTCTGATGAAGGTTGGTCAAAACTGCTAGAGTTTTTCCCGTGCTTTGTTGCACCTGTGGTTGCACTTCCAAACCACAGCTCTTTCTTTCAGCTTTGTTACCAGTTGCACAGCAGTCTGAAGACATCTCTTCAGAAGAAGAGAAAATGGAGTGCACCCATTGCAGCTCTCAGCCTCGCTTGTGCCGCCAGCCAGCACGGTATTGGTGTCCTGTGACAAGGGAAGTTTCTCTGATGCCTTCAAATTCCCTCTGAAATTCTTCTGTTTGTGGTTCCGCTTTGCCTTGCAACCAAGGTGAGCTGCTTAGTGCCAGCCTGTCACTGACCAGGATGTGTTAATGGCTTCAGATGCTGGCTCTGATCAGAAAGATCCAAGGATTTGAGCCATGAGTCCTTCACGTGAGAAATGAACAAATGGGCATTTCTTTCCTGATCTGTGTGAGGGTCCCAAAACCTCGTCACGCAGCCAAACCGGAGACCAAGGTAATCACATAGGATCAAGCATCTGGCCCTTCGAGATTTTTCATCTGGAAGTGCTGGAGCCTGCGTGGCTTCCTCTGAAATACAGTTCCTGAGGTGGCTTGTAATGTCAGGCTGTAATTCAGCTTGTAATGTCAGGCTGAAGTGGCCCTTACAAAGTTGTTCGCTGAATGAATATTGAGAAAAAAAAAAAAAAAGAAAAAAAGAGATTTTGAATCTGTCCCTGTGGAATATCATTTTCCCACCGTTAGCCCAGCAAGATGACTTCCCAAGAGCTCTCTTCAAGTGGTAAATAGAGCTGTCTCAGCCACAACAACATAAAGAGGGATGAGATTAGTGATAAATATATTGTAAAGGGCCAACTTAACTCTAATTGTGTTTTGTTTAATGTGGTCATTAAAACAGTTAACTGTCTGCTAAGTGGCTGTTTGTGTGGATACCACTGGTCAGGAATGACCCTGATGTTATCTGAGGGACCATAGCAGCCCCTTTCCACCAGAGATGGGCTCAGCCTTTCATCTTTCCAGAGCTGAGCTCTTCCAGTTCTAACAGGCTGGTCTAAGCTGTGAGACGGTGCGAGGCAGACAAGCCTTAGTGATGCTCTTCTCCCATCCTGCCCTCAAGGTGTTTACACACTTGTGGGGCTGAGGTTGTSCTATGGGCATGGGGAGCTGCAGAGTTAGGGGGCTACAAGGCACTCGGTAGCCCCCAAACACCAGCCTAACAACCAGGACACACTACAAGGGAGACAACAAGAGAGCTGTCCCACACCATCCCATTCCCTGCCGTGATTCCTCTGCTTTCCCAGCCACTGCTTGCCAGAGGGACATGAAAACAGATGATCCTCAGCTGGGTGCTCCGATGTGCCTGTGGGCTGGCCCTGGGGAAGTGTGGTCACTCACCAGCTGCACCATCCTACCTTAGAGCTGCTGCTCTTTCTCCTGTATACTCACTTTTTATCTTTCTCTCTCTCTCTCTCTCTCTCTTTTTTTCCCCCCTCCATTCCCTCCCTCTCCCCTGTTTTTCAGTCCCTACCTGTGTGTTTTCCAGGCTCAGCAATGCCTGCAGGCAAAGCCTCCAGGGTTAGACTCAGCAGAAACAGGTGTGACCAATAATCCCTCTGCTAAGGGAAATGTGATGGAGCGAGGGGAAGCAGGGCATGACTGAAGGAGTCCTGGCTTTAGTTGGAGTCCTGTTTGCCGTTGTGGTGGAKCCAGGTATGTCCTTGTCTTGCTTTTGCAAGCAGGTTGTTTTCCTTTTTCAAACTGTGCTTGGGCACGTGTTGCTGTGGCTGAGAGTGTTGATTTTTTTTTCATATAGGAATATCTAATCCTTTGAGATGCCAAAGAGGATTGTGCTTGTTTCAAACCATACCCAAGTGAACTTGTGAAAATCAGAAATGCTTGGGCAACTTGAAGTGAAGTAAGGGGGGAAAAGTATAATTGTTTGGGGGGTATTAATGTGAAGGTTTGGTGTAGTTGTTCTGGGCTAAACAGAGCTCAGAGAAATAGGTCTAGCTTGTATTTGGAGGTCCTCCTTTCTCCATGGATAGAGGAGGAAAAGGCCAGGAGGGAATCGCTTGTGCTTGTTCACAAAGCAAGGGGCTGAGAGGGCCAGCTAGAGACTGAACAGAGTGGTTTGGTTTGATTAGCTAAACACCTTTATGAGCTGTGCTACCACTTCCAAATGTGTAATTTTTAAGTGAGGTTATTCTAAAAATTCTTGCTGGGATCTTGGGAAATGTTTTGCTCCACTTGGACTTATGAAACTATTGCTATGAAAGGAAGAAGGAAAAACYCTCTCCTGAGCACACGGAAGAAAAAGTGTTTCTTCCCACTACCTTGTTGCCTTCAAAGAAGGCGAGGTTTTGTTTTTGCTCTCCAAATCTGTATAGATAATTAGCAGCRATGATTTGTCCTTAAGAGGCAGCTTTGGCCCTGCATTCAGAGAGAAGTGTGGTTATTTTAGACTTAGCAAGGGTGCTTTGGGTTTTGATCGCTGGCTTTGGTTTTCTTGTTATTCATATTGATTGCTCCAATTTGTATGCTGTTTTGCTCTGTGAGTTGTTGATCTGTTTTGTTTCTGTTCTGTTTTTCAGTGGCTATGGGTTTCTAATCTTCTGTTTTCTTCTTAGGCTTTGAGGTTTTAATTCAGTGGTATGTTTTCTGGGATACTTCTTGCTTGTTTTGGCACKGCTGTCGCTTGGTAGTGTTGCTTGTCCCTTCCTTCCTGGGGATGAGGTTGAGAGGAGGGGGAAAGGAGGCCATGCCCTGGGTGGTGATGGGTGTGCAAGAAAGCCAGTTTCCTGGAGTTTAGATGGAAAACTGCCCTTGAGGAGTCGCTGTCTGCTGCTTATTGCCTTGCCCTTGGTTGGAAGGGCTAAATCCTCATGCTGATGGGAGTTGCAAGCTTAATGCTTCTTGGGAATATATCCCAAAACATATYCTTTACTAAAGGGATTGCACTTTATAGGGCTGCTGTGTAGCAAAACCAACCAAACAAATAAATAATAAAAAAAAATAGGGTTTGAAAGAGGCTTTGAAAGAAGAAGAGAATGTCTTTGAGCAAGAGGCCGTGGGCTCGTGTTCTGTAGGATCCATTCCCGTTGCCTGTTCTCAAGTGCTCTGAGTCTCCAAACCCCTTTCAGACTCATTCACTTGTGCAAAGCAGCTGATGTCGGCTCTGGTGTCCGTACAGTTGGGAGCCCAGTTWAGCCAGTGTTTGGGCAGAGTCTGGCACCCAGTTTCTAAAGCCTCCCTGCTGAGCGCCCTCAGGAAAGCAGGATCTGTGTGGTCTTCCTACTGCATAAACATTGGTGCTCTCTGGTCATGAATTTAAGGAGGAGTTGCCAATATTGACGTTATCCTAATGAAACCAAGGGGGCTTGATAATACTCACTTGAAAAACTAATTGACGACAATCTGCAGGCTTTAGTTTTTAAGCTGATGCTTGTTGGCCAGAGGCACCGCGTGCTTGTGTGCATGGATGGGCTTTCTTCTTTYTTAAAACCTTTGGAGTGAGTTTTTTGGATACTTCAAACGTCCCTTTTTCTCACCCTCAGATTGTTCGCCGCCTCCCCAGCAGAGTGACATATTGTTTGCAGAGGAATTTGACAGGCTCAGATGGCACTAGCTGCTGCAAGATTTTTTAGTTCTTGTTGGTGCTACGACAGGTCTCAACAAATTCCCTCGCCCACTCGCCCGTGGTGCATAAGGAGCTTTCTCTCTAGCGAGAGGAGAGCTTGCCCATCAGTTTTGTCAAAATCTCAACTTTCTTTTAAGCATAATCCAGAAATTCGAGCTTCTTCAGTGTGACACAGATCTGCTGTGAGGCAGTGTTGTTTGCAGATTTGGGCAGACAGACAAAGGCAACGTGAGCTCCCTAACAGCCSTGTTTGGCTTCGCTAGGGAACTGAGCTACCTGGGATGTGTGCTGGGAAGATCCTCTGGTGGGGAAATCCTTTCCCGTCTGCTGCACTTTGTTTCTATGCCCTAGGGCAAGGGAGTCCTCTCTCTTGCTSTATCTTTGCTGTATAAGCAGGCTGTGACGGATCTGCAAATCTACTGGTCCCATCCAAAATACCCACCAGGTGTATGAGGAGACATCCGTGCCTACAGCACGAACTCGGGAGCTGGTAACCAGCTCCTGTGCTGYGATTCATCCGGCCTGCTTCAGGCATCCAGGATAAGCTGAAGCTCAACACATAAAGCATGCTCTGCATACATGCCAACCAAGCCATATGTATTTTATGTTCAATTTAGTTTGGGACCTATTTCTGCCATTCAGCCTAGTGTAGCTTTGTGATTCTTCATCTGGGCCCATTGGAAAACACTGCTGTGTATGCTCTGGGGAGCTTACTCCTCCTTTATTTGCAGACAGCTCCTCCTCRTGTGATCATTTCTTTCCACGAGGGACAGCCCATTAAGAAGTAAGGGTCACGATGGCTTGACTCGAGGAGGACCTTGGTCCAAACGCAGCCTCTCAAGGTTATCCCCAAGCAGGGCARTCCCGGAGCCTCCCCACTTCTAGGCCTTTCCTTGGCATAAATAACACTAGCCTGAGGGTGGCTCTCATCAGTGCCAGATGCCCACAGCTAGAGCAGCAGGAAATCAATGGGGCGTAGGGATATCCCAGCCACTTCACTCTGTCACTAATAGCTCTGGTGGCGCAGGAGTCCCTCTGGCATTTCCACATTACCTGGAGATTTCCCGAGGCAGGAGAAATCCTAAGGACAATTAAGCCTGTTTTATTTAGGGCTGAGCTAAGCCATCAGAGTGGCATAAAGCAGCCTAAATGGACCAGAGGATCTGGCGCCTTCTGTGAAAGCTAATCATTTTCTGAGGTGGCTTGATAATTTCTGAGGAGGATGTAAAATAATTCACACCTATGAGTAGCTCTTAATGAACAGAAAGGCCTTTCTGCTGCATGTCCTGAAATTGTGCCTTTTTTTCCTTTTTTTTTTTTTTTTCCCTTTTTAAATGATGATGCTTGAGCTCAGCAAAGCGAGAGGGAGACCGTGGCAGTAGCAGGAGCTCAGGGCAGCGTCTTTGTTGCTGTTTTCATCAGGGTTAAGGACTCGGTGACCGCTGGGGAACCTTTTATGGGCAAACTGGCTAGCAGCCAGCCCTGAAAATGCGCTCTGCCGACTCCTTGATTGGTCACTAGTCCATCAGCAGCAGTGGAAACCTGAGAAATGTTTGCAGCAAGCCACGTGAAAAGCAGGTGCTGTAGATCAGGGTGTTGGGGTTCAGTCCCAGCTGGGAGATGCGACGAGGGAGGCAGTGGTTCCTGCTCCTCTCTGTGTKTGTGAGCATCCACTGCCCCACGTGCTGCCCCCCGGCCGCTGCCTGCTTGCCATAGGATTTTTGATCCTCGTCAGTGCTTGGATTTGCACGGAGCAACCCCAGTTCTCCAAGTGAATTTTTGCTAAATCCCCTGCAAAAGTGGGTTTGCTGTTCCTGGGGGACGTGGAGCCCAGACCCCTGTGGTCTATCGCTTCCTGCTCCCAGATCCCTGCACTCCCGTAACCAGCCTTTCCATGAGCCT